AAAGCACCAAGCTCTATATATAAATTCATAATTTCTAAGTAAAAAGAACATGCATGCTAGGTATATTTGCAAGGTTTGGACACAAAGTGAGATAGGAAAAATGGGATAGAGAATGTGCTCTGTTTCATATGAGATTCAGATCTCAAGTGAGTGAAAAAGATAATCTATTGTTTTTCATTATATAATTTAATTATTAAAAAAATAGATAAATTCTTTGTTTTCATCATTGCCCAAACACAAAGTTTATAGAAAAGGGTTGAGTAATGAAGATTAATCAGAACAAGAAATTCTGCTTTGCTAAATGCCAGGTGGGGTTCCTGACCAGTCAACCCTTTTCTGCTCATTCATGCCTAGGAATGATGTCTCTTGGATTTTCTCAATCACATAATTCTATGTAGTAGTTTTTTCCTCTCATAATGTCAACTAAATGAAAATTTTCTTCCACGTTGCAAGTTCCAACCTAAAATGATTGTTAATATACCATTATAATTTGGGAATTCTCTAGCATGTGCATGCCTTTATAGAGTATATTGATTGTGTATTTTTATTATTAATTTATTTATAAAAAGATAAAATTTTATTTTAATTTTATTGATTATTTAATTAAATTATTTTACATAACATTAATATTAAAAGTAAATTTTATTTTTGTAATTTGTCATATAAATTGATAATAAAAAAAATGCAATGAATGCATCATTAACTTGGGTCTAGCTCAAGTTACAAAAACCTTTATAATTAATCAGCCAAATTGTTCTTTTACCTTACCTAAATCATAGAATAAAAGATAAATTTTTATTAATATTTAAATAGTTTAATGATAATTTTTTAAATTAAAATAAAAAATACTAAGTTTAATATGCACAATATTTAAGTGAGTTCGAGTAAAAATAACATTTTTCTTCACTTGGATGCAATGGAAAGAAAAGGAGAAAATTTAACTTTCTCTCTGCCTTTCATTTTTTTTTTTTTTTGAACAAGGATAATTTTTGAAGAAAGAGAAAAAAATATCACAATTATCTCTAAAGAGCTTGAATTTTAACTAGAGTCATAATTTTTGCTGCACATAACGAACCCACTTGGGTTGCTAGTGCGCCTTTCATCTCTCAATTTACTCGAACAAAGGAAAGAAATTAACAAAAAAACTCAATAAGATCGATTGGCATGTAATTATGCATTCTAGTATGTTCCTTCCCCAAGGGTTTGTAGGCATATGATTAGAGTAAAATTTTCTGTTGTTTTGGGTTAAAGAGAGAGAAGCAGAAGCATCCAAGGGAAAGGGGGGAACAGTCAACAGAGAGAATCCAAGGGGAATAAATGGATGGGGCATACATAGTCTATGGTGGTAATGTGTTTTGTTGTATTATTTATTCCTCAAGTCCCAACAAAGGATGATGGTGCCATAATCAAATTTCACTTATTGCATTCAAGAAAGCTAAAAACAATAATAATTATAAGTACCAACATTGCTTTCAGCTTCAGCAGACTGTAGGGACACTTCTTTCTTCATTTTGTTTGCCATTTTCTATTCTTTTACCTCTTTAACCAAAGCTCCGCAAATCCTGAGTTTCTGATAATTTTTTATACAAACTGGGTCTGGGTTAATATCATGAGTCGATTTAGTGACTCTTTGGTCCAACTATTGAAAAAGTCATCTCTTTTAGCAGAGAGGAAATGTGCAAACAAATATGTTAACTTTACATTTTTTTTTTAATTTAAGGATATTAATTTTGTTAATTTTTAAATAAGTGTCAACTTTCAATTTTTTTTTATTTAAGGTTGTTAACTTTTCATTTTTTTTTATTTAAGGATACTAATTTTCAATATTTCGGTTAAAAAATCCATTTGCCACATTAGCATTTTCATCCAATCAATCTTTAAATAGAAAAAAAAATTAAAAGTTGGTATCCTTAAATAAAATAGAAAAAGTTGAAGGTTAGCATCTTACATAGAAAAAATTGAAAGTTAATATCTTAAATAGAAAAAGTTGAAAGTTAGTGTTTTTATTCAAAAACTAACAAAATCAACATCTTTAAATCGAAAAAAGCACAAAGTTGACATCCTTATTTACCCTTTTTCTCCTTTAACAGAAGATGAAGTTAAGACAATTGCAGTTTATTTAAAAATTTGGATATTTGTTTTTAACTTTTAATTAGTTATAAACTAAGCTTTCCATTGAGAATTCTGAACTGTAACTGCAGCTATAGGATTTTTAATTTTTTTAATATCCTAAAAATTATATAAAATATATTTAATAATTATTTTATATAATATTTTTATATTTTTAAAATAATAAAAAGACATAAAAATCAAAAACTAAAGTATTGAAAAGCATTCCTAAATGAAGCCTTTAAACTAGTTCTTTTAAAAATAGAATTTTTACAATTAAAATTTTAATTTTGATAACTTTTATTAATTTTTCAAGTATTTAGGATTATTTCATATAAATTCATGATTCAACATTTTTGTGAAAGATTACTAAATTAAAATTTCAACAAAAACTACAGTTAATCCAAAATGCTCATTATAATAATACGCCATTCCCTTGTATGAAGCTTAGTCAACCGTGAGCTTTATAAATCAAGAACATAATAATAACAAAAAAATAAAAAAATAAACCTGGTAGGTGAGCAAGGATAACATATTATATATTTTGCTGACAATGGTTTGCCATGACCCACATGGAAAATATGCATATGCTTTATAACAAAAAAAATCTTTTTTAGGTCGAATTGTACTTTTAAAATGTAATTTAAACATTAAAATTATTAAAATATCCTTAATGAAATTTTTCTTAATTAAAGTGCTCTTCAAAAAAAAAAAAAATGTAGCTTAAACTAAAAAACATCAAACTCTTTTAATAAAAAGTTTATATAACTTATATCCTAACAACACATATTAAAATATAATAAATGCAACCCTTTATAATTAATCTATACAAAAAATAATAAAAATTAACTTTTATTTTAA